AAATGATTCCCCTCTTCATTATCTTTGCCTATTTCAGAATGTATCAGGTGTCCTTCATGTGTCCAACTAGGATGTAAATGTGGAGAGAACTCAGTGACAGAGTGGTAGTAGAGTGAACCAAGTACATAATGGAAGCATGTGGTCTACCCATTGCAAGCACATGACAGGAAAAATCCATGCTATGTTCTCAGTTTGTCAGAATTTGCCCACCTTTTAAGAGCCTGACCTAAATATGTAAGTTGCAGGGCCTAGGGGAATATATGGGTTGTGCAGCATTAAGGTGTAAAGTATGAAAGCTGATAAAAAATTTTTTTTTTCAAATCTTAAATTTGTTGAAATTCATGTTTACGGGAATTTCATGAGGATAGTTTGCACTCTGTGTGTGTGTGTGTGTGTGTGTGTGTGTGTGTAATTTCTTTTTATTTTCTCAGAGTAAAATTTAATGTCCAGGGAGGAGGAAGAGTTAGGATAGAGTACTGAAGTTGCAGAGTGTAGGAGGAACATGGACTTTGGAGGCATCTAGACAGAAGTAGCTTGGAATAACAGATCTGCGACCTGCCAATTGTGTGATTCTGGGCCAGTTACGTGACTGAACTTTCATTGTATGTAAAGAGAAGGTATCAATCTCTACTTTGTAATGTTCTTTGTGAAGAAAAAAAAGTGTTTTTCTGGTGTTTGTAAAGCATCTAACAGAAATTGGAAATTTAAATTTAATAAATGATAGCTACTTTAAGTAATTTTTTCATAATATGTAACAGAGACATTAAGCCTGTCAAGTTAATCTTTGTCTTATATTAGCAACTGAGTACAAATATCCTTGAAGAGGAATGTAACTTCTGATTTTGAAGTGTGAATCTTATTTTCTTTGAATAAATCATAATGTGGAAAATACAGACTGTTTAAGCAGCTAGAACAGAGTATTTTTGGATTTGAACTTCACATAGGCCTATTAATTTTGTGTGTGTGTGTGTGTGTGTGTGTGTGTGTGACCAAGTCTCGCTCTTGTTGCCCAGGCTGGAGTGCAGTGGCACGATCTCGGCTCACTCACTGCAGCCTCCGCCTCCCAGGTTCAAGCAATTCTCCTGCCTCACCCTCCCGAGTAGCTGGGACTACAGGCACCTGCCATCACGCCCTGCTAATTTTTGTACTTTTAGTAGAGACAGAGTTTCGCCATGTTGGCCAGGCCGGTCTCGAACTCATGACCTCAGGTGATCTGCCTGCCTTAGTCTCCCAAAGTGCTGGGATTACAGGCATGAGCCACCATACTCAACCAGTCCTATTAATTCTTTTAGGGCCACAGACTAACTCCCATCCACCTCACAACCATCTTACAAATAGGTGCCATTACTCACAAATGGAATCAAATGAGAAAATAGTTCAATGCAGCTCATGGAGTAATTACTGTGTATATGAGAAAAAATTCAAGGTTTGAATATCTTACTGATGGCTTAATTTTATCTTTATATTCAAAGCCAAGATGTTTACTTAGGAAAGACCCAAATGTGAAAACAGCACTAAGCAATATCTAGAATTGTTTTTATAAGTTACTACAAATAGTACTGTTTATAGTAACTTCATTGCCTATGAACAATAATTAACTGTTCATGCTGAAGATTCAGTGGTGTTTACCTAAAGAACAGTGTAGAAATACAGGTTTCTTTTCTTTTCTTTTCTTTTCTGCCCAGGCTGGAGTGCAGTGGCGTGATCTTGGTTCACTGCAAACTCTGCCTTCGAGGTTCAAGTGATTCTCTGCCTCAGCCTCCTGAGTAGCTGGGATTACAGGCATGAGATAATTTTCTTGTATTTTTAGTAGAGGCAGGGTTTTGCCATGTTAGCCAGGCTGGTTTCGAACTCCTGACCTCAGGTGATCTGCCTGCCTCACCTCCCAAAGTGCTAGGATTACGGATGTGAACCACTGCACCCGGACTAGAAGTACAGGTTTTCTTGTCCAGCCCTGGGTCTTATTTCTGAAATGGCTGCTAACACCTCAAACTGGTAAATATGGGAACTTCAAGGCTAGCAACACAGGCATGTTTTTCTTTCCTTGACAAAGCTTTAGTTGTTTCGGGCTTGCCTCTCTGTGTCCTCTACCTGGAGAGAGGTAGGGTGGTATGGATCTTCGGAAGGAATGTTAACCAAGTTTTTACTTACCTTGATGTTCCTGTTGGGTTAGTATGTTGCAATCAATCTAGATCTGTTCAAGTTAGTAAATGCTTACTGGCTGATGAAGAGATTGCCACGGTTTGTGACAAGGCTGAATTCACATTTTAGACCCCAGTCAGACACGTGGCATTCAGATTTATTCGCATGTTCTAGTTTAAGAATGTATCAGTGGCCTGGCACAGTGGCTCAGGCCTATAATCCCAGCACTTTGGGAGGCTGAGGCAGGTAGATCACAAGGTCAGGAGTTCGAGACCTACCTGGTCAACATGGTGAAACCCTGTGTCTACTAAAAATACAAAAAATTAGCCAGGCATGGTGGCGCGTGCCTGTAATCCCAGCTACTTGGGAGGCTGAGGCAGGAGAATTGCTTGAACCCAGGAGGTGGAGGTTGCAATGAGCCGAGATCGTGCCATTGCACTCCAGTCTGGGAATAGGGTGAGTCTCAAAAAAAAAAAAAAAAAAAAAAAATATATATATATATATATATATATATGTGTGTGTGTGTGTGTGTGTGTGTGTCAGTGATCGAGAGTTTTGATATCACAAGTCCAGATAGCTAGGGCTGTTTGGAGTTGTGGATTCAGGAACATCCCATGTAACCTGAAGTTTTTAATGACTACTTACTATGTCTTTAAGTATTGTGTGGTATAAAGTGAATCTATAAACTGTCCCCTTTATGTACTGATGTATAAGATGGTAATATTTTTGGCTAGAAAGGAATTGAACTGCAATTAAATGAGAATGTGTTAAATGAAGGCTTGTGTTCAGTATTTGGATATGTAAACTCTGCTTCCTGGAAAAGGTATTCCTATCTTACTGCTGTGTGCATAATGCCTGGATTGCTGCCTGGCATGTGGAGCATCTCTTAGTGAATATTTGTTGAATGAATGAGTGACTCTGAGTCCAGATGTAGGGTGATGATGAAAGAGAATGAGATAGAAATAAAACCAGAAATATTTTGTTTTCCTTAGTAACTTACTAAGAAATTGATTTTCCCCAATTATAAATAAGCCTATATATATGCCTTCTTACATTGTACCAGTATATAGTACAGTCTACTTATTTTTTTATTTTTATTTTGAGACAAGGTCTCGCTGTGTCTCCCAAGCTACAGTGCAGTAGTGCAGTCTAGGCTCACTGCAGCCCTTCTGGGCTCACGTGATTCTCCCACCTCAGTCTCCCAAGTAGCTAGGACCACATGTCCATGCCACCATGCCCAGCTAATTTTGGTTTTTGTAGAGATGGGCTTTTGCCATGTTGCCCAGGCTGGTTTCAAACTCCTGAGTTCAAGCCATTTGCCTGCCTTGGCCTTCCAAAGTGCTGGGATTACAGGCATGCACCACCACACCCAGCTAATTTTTCTGTATTTTTAGTAGAGATGGGGTTTCACCATGTTGGCTAGGCTGGTCTCAAACTCCTGACCTCAGGTGATCCTCCTGCCTTGGTCTCCCAAAGTGCTGGAATTACAGGCATGAGCCACCACTCCTGGCCATTTGGCCCCTCCTTCTAACAATATGAAAATGCCAGTTTCTCTACAGAATTTAATTTTTAGCATTTTTTTCTTTGAGTTCAGTCTCAAATTAGGATGAAGCATTTGAGATTTTAACAATATTCAAGGAGAAGTTTTTCTTTTAGTTTTTAGAAATTAGGTAAATCAAGATGTTCTTCTAATAATCCCCAGAGAGGAATAATTAGTCTCAGATCATATTTCTTGTGTTTGTATGCTCCCCCTCAAAATTGGAACCCTTAAATACAAAAACAAACAAACAAATGCTTGCTTTCAACTGTCCAAAACATTTTCAAAGAAAATTCTTATCATTCTTCTCCTTGTAACTTATGTAGTTCATAAAGCAAGTACCTGCCTTTTTGCTACCAAGGTATAAATGCCTCATTGGATAATATAGGGCTGTGTGTGTGTGTGTGTGTGTGTGTGTGTGTGTGTGCATGAGTTTATATAAGAAAATATGATAATGTGTCTTCAGTATGTTATCGAATGGGAGGATTTTTTTAATGTAACGTTTGTTTGTTTGTTTGTTTTTGTTTTTATTAAAGATGGGGTTTCACCATGTTGGTCAGGCAGGTCTTGAACTCTCACCCTCAGGTGATCCGCCCACCTTGGCCTCCAAAGTGCTTGGATTACAGGCGTGAGCCACTACGCCTGGCCAAATATAAGATTGTTTTAATTTTCTGCATAGAAACATATTTCATGCTAATACAGAAACTTGGTAAATACAACAAAATCAAAAAAAGGGTAAATTGCCATTAATTGGGAAAGATTTTACTTTTTTAACTTCAAGTTCTTTCTTGCATTTCTGCCTATCCTAAAAGGTCAGGTTTTTGTACCTTGAAGAAGGAAATCACAAATGCTCAAGAATAAGATATTTAAATTGAAAATCTGCTTTAGCTTTTTTTTCCTCTTTTTGTTTTTTTTTTTCTTTCTGAGAGCCTCAACTTTTTATGCTTTAGCAATTCTTAAAATGTAACATTTAGCATAGTAAAGAATTTTAATAGCTATGTAGATAAGAATAATAGAGGTGAATTATGTGGTTGTTAAATCAACTGCCTCTTTTACCATCTTTACTATAGATTATTATCGAGTATAAATTATCCTCCTTTTATTCAGTCCTTGATCCCAAAGTAAGAGGAATTGATGAGGATATGTGCATTGTGTTATGTCTGATCACAGTTTGACTAGCACAGTCTGGAAGTGGGTTGTACAGGATGAGAGAGAGCAACCTAATTGCTCTCCCAGCATCAGCAGCATCTATAAAGCATCCTGGGAATTGCTTGCCCTACGTTCAGAAGCAGCTGGTCACATGGGCCTGAATTTTCAGTTCAGTTCATTAGTCAGCCATTTTGGTCAACACCCTGCTTACTGCGCACGGCCAATCCTATGAGAACTCAGCATCCCAGCTTATCTGAGCAGATCCTGGAAGTGATTTCTGCAGCTCAGGATTTTTTTTTTTTTTTAAGCTACATTGAAAATATAGGTTTATTTTTTGTTCAGGTTTTTCTTTTACTTTTTTTTTCTGCACAAAGGAAGAGGATTTTTCACTCATTCATATCGAGACCAGATTTTTAAAGCCATCTAAGGCAGCATCGGCTGTGCAGGATTTAAAGCCTATAGCTCAGCTGAAAAAAAAAGGTGGGGGGCAGGGAAGGGAAGATAAAAGGAGAGGAAGCTGGGAGAAGACAAACATCATCTTATTTTGCTATGTGGTAGGAACTGTCTATAAGACAGTGTAGAATTGTTTATCTTGAGCAGTTGGTTCTTAAACTATAAGGTATTTTCCTTTTTTTTTTTAAACCTCCCCCACCCCTTTTCTTGAAAGCTTTGTTTCAGAGCTTTGTATTGGGTGTTTTTGGAAAGGAGGTTATATTTATTTTTGTGGGGTGTGTGTACGTGTGTCTGTGTGTGTGTGTCTGTGTGTGTGTTGTGGTCCCAGCTGAGTCATCATGTCTGCTCTGACGCCTCCGACCGATATGCCAACCCCCACCACTGACAAGATCACACAGGCTGCCATGGAGACCATCTACCTTTGCAAATTCCGAGTGTCCATGGATGGAGAATGGCTCTGCCTGCGGGAGCTGGATGACATCTCACTTACACCTGACCCAGAGCCTACCCATGAAGGTATGGTCAGATCCTGTCTGCTGGTATCTCCCCAGCATCCTCATTGTTATAGGGGAGGGCTGGGAGGATCAGGGAGAGGTAGAAAGAACCTATACTCTCAACTGTTAACAGTCCTGAAAACCTTGCATCTTTACTTACCACCCAGCTACCCTTCTCTTGCTCATGGGGGAAAAAATAATTTTTTTCCTACACCTTGAGGTATCCTTTCAAAAGATGCTGGATACTTGTTTGGAGTTCTTTGTCTTTAAGCCTCTAAAGAAAACATTTGAGGTCACTTACCACATCTGATCCTAATCAATAATGAAAAAGCTTTTAATTTTATTCATATATGAAAATGTTATAAAAATTGTTGTGATTTATAACACTAAGTTAAGACAACATGACTATAGTTATAGGATTGTACATGATTAACACAGTAGAAACACCAGGGGGTATCCTGTCATGAGGATATAATGTTAAGCAGGTTATGACATCTAGAAAATATTTGATAAAATGTCTTTTTTAACAATATGGATTATTAGGTTAGATGAGAAAATAATATTCAGTGTTTATTTATTGAATATGAATGCCTAAAAAAGCATAATGCCTTGGAAAGATTAAATATGATTAATATGCAATCCTTGTAGAATGGTAATATTGGAATCTATTGGCCATTGCTTTTTATAAATTATTTGTGGTAACTATTATGATCCATTTGAGATTTCCACTGTCAGTACCTCTGAGATTTTCGTGGTCTCTTGACTTGTGACTTTTTTCCAGGACTCTTCCTAATTCATGAGAGGTTTTCCACTTCTACCCTTTAATTTTCTTAATGCCACGAAAAGAGAATTGATTTGAGTCATAGCTACAAATTGTTTTGTTTCTAGTATAGTGGCATCTTAGCTAGGGTTTATCCTCTGTCCTTATACTGATGGAAACAAAAATGCTTACATGTTGGGAGAAATTCTTTATAAACATCTGCCTGATAGGAACATCTACAGGACAGAGAAGACCAGAGGTGAACTGTACCTAGCAGATGGGGTTAGGAAAGGTGATTCTCTGCCTTTGACCTTCAGTTGAAATCTTATCATGACTCAGATATCGCCCATTGTGTTTAATAAGGATTTTATCTTCCCACTCAGCCTTAGCCTTGAGAAAGTTTTAGGAGTGGTTAATATCACAGAACACAAAGCAGTCATTTTGGGTGTGTCTTTAAGAACAATGTTTAAGTGGTTTTTAAGACCCTTTACATCTTTTAACAATTGGTTTGTTAATTGGACAGCTTTCTTTGGTTGTAAGTTCCATTATGTGCACAAGTTATAAGACATCAGCTGAATTTCTATACAATGCCAGTACTATTTCTTTTATTATTTGTTATTCTGTATTTTCTTCAAAATATCCTTACATCCAACAATTCCAGTACTACTTAAAACAGCCTCCAAAGCTTTAAAAGTCTAGGGAAGAAAACAGTTTTTGAAGGCTACCAAGAGGTCTTCTGGCAACTGCCTTAGTTTACATATTTTGTTTGAAAAATCGTATTCCCATCCATTTTGAGAGTATGAAATATTCCTTTAATTATAAAATCTAGTTTATCAGTGTCTCAGAAATAATTTTTAACAATTTTAGTACTTCGAATATATGTTTTTTGAGGAAGATTTCCATGGGTAAGCAAAAGTGAGCTGTTTAGTCCATGTAAGTGTTTGAGGTAGTACCATTTGAATTCTTCATAGAGAAATCTGTAGCAACACATTTCTCACTAATATGGAAAATGTGTGAGAGCTGTAACCAAAGCAGTAAGCTATATCTCTGCTGATTAAAGAAATCAGATAAATAAAGAGTTTCCAAGACCTTTAATCAACTATAGAGGATTTGGGAGAAAATAGAAAAATACTGACAGTGCATTTTAGAATTTTGCCTTAAATTGGGCAAGGAAAGCCATTATTTTACATTGTTAGAAATGAAAATAATGAAGGAAAGCATAGGCCCATGAAAGCCTGTGAGTGTTATTTTCTTGCTCCATCAGCAAACTCTGGATAAACAGTCATTTGGTCCCAAGAAATATCTACTTCAATTTTAATACCATTGACAGTTATTAGATTTAATTTAGCTATAAGCATTTAAACGGTGGTCACCAGGCCAATGATTATGTGAATCTCACCTTGTTGACAAAACGGAACTCCTGATGTCTGGACGCAGGAGTATTCAGACTACTTCCCGGGCTGATCATAGAGGGAAAAAACATCTGACCACACAAATCCTAAAGTGGAGGCTCCTTACTCCCACAAAAGATAATAGGCAAAAAGCATAATGTTTCCTCTTAAAATGATGGAGACTGACCATGCATACTCCGCAATAGATGCTCTGTGGTTTCCGCATTTTATTTTCTTAAAACCAGAATTTCTGGCCCTTCACTGAGCATTCCACAGTATAGGCCTGGACCTAGAGTTTCTGCCTACTTTAGCCCTTAAATAAATGAGAACAAAAATATTCACTTCATTATTTCAGTGCTTATTGGTGGTCAATGAGATGGTCTCTCTTTTGTTTTACGTACTCTTATTTTTAAAAGCCAGAAGCAAATCTACAACATGTTTAATTGCAAATAGATTTCCCCTAAAGGCAAGGGCCTAAGATTGATTCCACAGGAGAGGCTTCATTAAGTGAGACCTTAAGAGATAACTAGGTGGTGACCAGACTAACATAGGGAGGGCATTTCAAACAGTACATAGTGAGCTGGCCGAGCCAGGGAATAGCAAACGAGATCACAGTGGGGCTTCTGTTTGGCATAACAGGCAGCAGGGCTGGAAAGGTAAGCAGGGGCTTGAGTGTAGAAATCTTCTTACTCATAGTGAAAAGCCTGGACTTGATTCTGTAGTGAAAAGCTACTGGTGCTTTATATCTGGGAGTAACATGAAATAAGATTTTTATTGGAATGATCACCCTGGAATCGGTGTAGTGGATGAATGCGAAGGATATAAGCTCTCAGGGACCCCTAACTATAACTATTAAAATAGTCCGAGTAAGAGATGACAATCTCAGACTAAGGCAGTGAGAGTGAACACAAAAGGAACAGTTCCTGGAAAAGTAGAATGTACCGGATGACTGACGTGCTGTGGGTAGCTAGAGGATGAAGGTGAGATGGTGCCTGGGATGACTCCCTGGCTTCTGGCTGCAGAAGCTGGGTTTCCTTTACCAATAGGAATGTAGAAGGAGGAAGATGTTTGAGTTTATCATGCTTAAGAGATTGTGACTACCATCACTCATCACTTTCTTTTCTTTTTTTTTGAGACGGAGTTTTGGTTCCTGTTGCCCAGGCTGGAGTGCAGTGGCGTGATCTTGGCTCACTGCAACCTCCGCCTCCCAGGTTCAAGTGATTCTCCTGCCTCAGCCTCCTGAAGTGCTGGGATTACAGGCATGCACCATCACGCCCGTCTTAATTTTGTGTTTTTAGTAGAGAACGGGGTTTCTCCATTTTGGTCAGGCTGGTCTCCAACTCCTGACCTCAGGTGATCCACCCACATCAGCCTCCAAAAGTGCTGGGATTACAGGCGTAAGCCTCTGGCCCATCACTCTTTCAATTGAGCCTTCCACCTACCCCACAGATGCATTAATCAGATTTACACTTTTCCAGATTACATATTCTGGCTTAAGTCTGTACCCTAATTTCCATTAAGAGTTAGAATCCTGGCTTACTTTGCTTGTGCCATATCAGCACTAGAGGAGCAGACTTGTTTATAGAAAATTCATTTTGCATTTTCATGTACCACCATTGACCTCTCAGAGATACTCTTTGGTGTTTTTTTTTTTTAAAGTTTCTGAAAGCATAGTAGGATTTCTTTCCGTTTCTTTCTTTTTTTTTTTTTTTTAACCAAAGCAATGTTGGAAGTAAGTGGAATTTCAAAGTAAAGGAAGTTTTAAAGCACCATGAAAATTTTAGAGAACATTTGTCATTTGTTTTTCTCAAGAATGGAAGCAGAACACTTCAGTTAGACCTTTAAGCATCATTGTATTAATTTCAGAAGTGGCATTATTACTGAGATGAAGTGATTTGTTTTCTTGATTTTTTTTTTTTAAAGTCATGTGCTTATGTGTATCTGAATTTCTTGGAGTAACATTCTCGAAACAAGTTGCATGTAATTCTAGAATCAGGAAAATAATAAAGCTTTCTTTATTATTTCTTTTCTTTCTTTCTTTCCTTTTTTTTTTTTTTTTTGAGACAGAGTCTCTTTGTCACCCAGGCTAGAGTGCAGTGGTGCGTTCTCAGCTCACTGCAACCTCCGCCTCCTGGGTTCAAGCGATTCTTCTGCCTCAGCCTCCCTAGTAACTGGGATTACGCTGTGCCCTGCTAATTTTTGTATTTTCAGTAGAGACGGGGTTTCACCATGTTGACTAGGCTGGTCTCCAACTCCTGATTTCAGGTGATCCTGCCCACCTCGGCCTCCCAAAGTGCTGGGATTACAAAATAATTAGCCGCGTGTGGTAGCTGGCGCCTGTAATCCCAGGTACTTGGAAGGCTGAGGCAGAAGAATCACTTGAACCCAGGAGGTGGAGGTTGCAGTGAGCTGAGGTCAAACCATGGCACCCTAGCCAGGGCAACAAAAGCAAAACAACGTCTCAAAAAAAAAAAAGATTTTTTTAAAGAAATTCCTCAGTACATGTTGTGTATACACATGTCCATATACATGAAGGACAGGCTATAGTATTACCTACAGTATTATTGAATGTTTAACAACAAAACCAGCTGTAGCTATGACTCTGACTCAGTTTACAACACGTTTACCCTTAACAAGCTTACCTAATTAGAAATGTTTATGTTAATAAAAGTTTTGACACTTTAAAGAGAATTTTTAAAGAATGAAATTCTGACTCATATTGTCTCAAGTGACTACAGATACCCCTCAAATTAAGATGGGGTTTTGTCCTGAGAAACCCGCCCTAAGTTGAAAATACCATAAAATGGAAATGCATTTAATACACCTACTCTACCAAACCTAATAGCTTAAATAGCTTAGCCTAGCCTGCCA